TAAACCCTAACCTGCGCAAGGAGTAGTCTCCCCAACGAATGGGTTCTAAACCTCATGAGAGTTCATCAGAAATGCATGAAGTTCAAGACATAAACCAGGAAGCGGCCTGATTTCGGTGGAAAATTCATCATAGCTCACCGCTACCGGCCGAACACTAGATATCACCAACAGATTCATGGCTAAGCCAACGTCCTCAGGGGGGAAAATAATTGTCAGACGCCAACAAACCACCTGAAATTTCCGCACTAGACTACATTAATCCTAACCGCATGTATCTCTAAAAGCAAAATAAAAAAATCTAACCTAAAACAAGGATGAAATTCACAGGAATAAGGGAAAATCAAGAAACTTACTTGGTCGAGGAGGATTAATAGCGAAACGAGCAGAAACTTCAACGGTGAGCGGTGTCGCTTTGTAGAAATAGCATAAATGAGAAGGAGAAAACAAGCGAAAAGTGCAAATGAAGCTTCTTCTCTCCCATTTATAGGCAGCTCTGCTAGCACATGAGCGGGCACGCATCTAGGGAAGCCTAGGTGTCGTCATCATTACACCATAATTCATATATTTGCCATCATTACACATTAATGATAACACGTGGCTCGATGCAAGCATGACATGCTATCTTTCAGAGTCCAATCAACCATTTGGCTCCCCGCACGCCGAACACAAGAGACCATGTTCAGGCCTCCCGACACAATTTCCCCCGAACGCATCCTGAAGCGTCCTCGTCTCCTACGGAGAGCACCTAAAGCATTGCCACCTCCTCGACACACGGGCTAATTCTAAGTCATCACTCATATGCCTAGGAGCAACGACTTAAGGGACTCATGTTCTGGACTGACCCAAGAGCTAAAATTGGCCTAATCCACTTCTACCTTCCACATGGCACAACAATGTAAGCCCATTAACTTTGGCCCTTCTGTCGGGTACACTTGGTCGACTACGCCCTGTGAACAATGATACCAACCAATCCTAATACGTACGACTGCCTGTATCAGCATCTACATCCCAGTCTGCTCGACGCTCGTAGAGCAGACAACCAGGAAAACACTCATAGTGCATCTTCTCGTAATCTCTTCCTTGCTCAGAGTAACGACTAGTTACGAGCACTACTTCCTGTTTTGACTAAGTCTTGACAGTTAACTATTTTTGAGGAACTTAATATCTAGACCCCAAAATAGAAAAAAATGGCCAAGCGCCAAGGATATTATATAAACCCTCACACTTGTGAGGACCAGGTATTCAATATTCATCAATAAAAACCCTAATCTCACACTTGTTAGGTCAACGATGCATGCATTAATTAACATAAAGAACCCATATGTAGTGAAAAAAACATAAAGGACTGACTTGTTAAAATTAAATAACTTAAAGGACCATGTGGGTAATTTTTCCTAAAAATAAAGGGAAGGAAGAAGAACCGGTGGATGCACCAGACAAGTGCAATTCCATATTGCACAGAAATATCCCACCTAAGCTAAAGGATGCAGGTAAATTCACTATCTCCTGTAATATTGAGGAATTCAAGTTTCCACATGCTTTATTTGATTTAGGATCAAGCACTAATTTTATGTCATTGAAAATAGTTAAGGTAGTAAATTTGGGAGATCAAAGCCTACTGATATAACTTTTACGTTAGTTGATCTTTCTGTTACTTCCCCTATGGAATGTTAGAGGATGCTCTGGTATGTATGAATGGTTTAGTTTTTCCTACAAATTTTGTAGTGATAGACATGAAATAAGACACTACAAATTCTCAAATTCTTGGAAGGCCATTCTTGGAAACTGGTAAGACAATGATTGACATGGAATCAATTGAGCTCATGTTACAGTTTAACAACGAGCATGTCATTTTTAATGCGTGTGAATGGATGTAATATGCAAATGATTTAGAAACATGTTAAGTAATGAAGTTGGAGACAACAAACAGGATAAAGGAATGGCCAGATGAATTGTGTACGATGCGAGGGAAGCCCATGCGTTTGACATACATTAGGCACTATCCGTCAAGCTAATGATGGTAAAGAAGCGCTTGATGGGAGGCAACCCATCAATAAGTTTGTTTTAGCAAAAAAATGTAATTCCATGTTATATGAATTAATCATATTCTTTTTATAGTATGTCAAAGGAAAAAGTGGACTGGTAAATAAAAAAAGAATAGAAGTTAGAAGTGAGAGAAGAAAAGAAACATAACAGAAAAGCTGTTGAAAAAATCACATAGGGCATCACACGCGTGATAGACCTGCACCGCGCGTGTGATGCCAAGTATCATGTGTGTGATAGTAACGTTATAAATTAGCTCGACTTTCTAACATGCTTAGGCGTGTTATACTTTGTTGGAAATAAAAAGTGACCCTCCTTCCATAGATGGACCAAGATGTATTTAACAAAATGGTTGCTTATTGGATGATAATTATTCATCCCACTACTTTTTTAAAATCATATTTTTATTTAATTTATATTTTTAATTAAAGTTAATTGTATTAATTAGACTAATGAGAATAGAAGAATTTCATTAATGAATGAGATCCATGAGAGGACTTATAAGGGGAGAGACGAAGAGTATATCAATAAACGTGCTAGAAAAACTCAAGTAAGACGATACTAATATTTAAATATTTTATTTAATTATATTATTTAATTAAATTATGTAAACTCTATTATTTAATTTAATTATGTATGTGTAAGAGAATTATCATAGAAAGGTCAGAGAATTTCTATCTGAACATCCTGAGTTGGTTGTTTTGAGGGGCCCATATCCCATTGATCCATTAGTGCCAATTCATGCTTGGATGAATTCAATTGGCGGTAAAAAAAAGGAAAAATTTATGGTGTTGAACCTTTTGTCTCCCACTATAGAAAAAGGGGATATAACTTTATTTACGAGAATTGCAGATAGGGAAAGGTCGTCACATCCCCTGATATTAACCATTGAAATGGTAGAAACGGTTATAAAGTTAGCTCGAAATGAGGGAGCAAGTGAAGCAACGACACGTGAAGCTGTGCAAAATACTGATACCGAGGAAATGAGAAAAATACAATTTGAGTTGGAGGAAGTCTTAAGAGTTTCACAAGAGCAAATGAAAGCTACAGAACACCAAATGCAATAATATGCGCTCTCACAAAGGAGTTCAACTTATGGTTCTATGGGAGAAAATCAAAGTTTTAGTGGATATGGTGGAATTTGCGGATTTGGAGCGGTTGGCGGCCAAGGAGCAGTAAGCGAAGATGAGGATGAAGAAAATGAGAGTGATGAAGACATTATGGATCCATGAATATTGATGGTCGAGTTTTATTAACTATTTTAAAATTTAATTTGTACAATATTTAGATATTTTTAATTGATTTTGAATTTAAATATTTTGAATTAATTTTGAACTTAAATATTTTTAATTGATTTTGAATTTAAATATTTTGAATTTATTTTGAACTTAAATATTTTTATTTAATTTTTAATTTAAAATATTATATGTCTACAAATTATTTATTATATTTATATTATTATAAATATTAAAAGTAATATTTATAATAATATAAATATAATAAAATATTTTTTATTAAAAAAATTTTCTATGCGAGAGACAAATCTTATAAGTTGTGAGGTGTTTTTGACCTTGCAAAAACATGATTTACGAGGTGTTTTTCACTTAACAAAAATATCTAATCTCTATCAAATCATATCTGATGTGTTGCTCAGAATACCCCAATCAAGAGACGTTGCGAAGTAAATTCCATCTAATAAGATTACGAAGTGTTTTTCACCTAGAAATATTAAGAGGCAATTTTAACCCAACAAAAATTTGTGACTATCGTTTTTATAAGCTGTTTAACTGCTTAATAAATTTAAAATTGCAAAAAAAATTTAAGAATTGTGAGATGATTTTCACCTTACTAATAAAAATTTTAATTTGTAATGGAAGGTAAAAACTCTTAAGAAAATCTATATTTAATTACATTGACCTTTAAAGCATCATATAATTTAGAATGGAAATATATAGTAGATTATGAATTCACAATAAAAACTATTTAAAGCGTAGTTTTACTTGAAGGTACCTGACTGTCTTATTTTTAAAATACATTTAATTCTTATTCAAAATATATACAAGAATGCTACCCAAAAATAGATAATATAATAAAATAATATGAAATGATTTTTTTGGAATTGTTTTTTTAATAGGTGAATATATTTAGATAAGGATGATACTTGAATAAATTGTTTTAATAATAAATACTACCTCCGTTTTTTATTATAAGCCTTTTAGAACTTTCCATACATATTAAGAAAAATAATAATTATAAATATAAAAATGAGAAATTATATAGATTTTTATAAAATAGTTCTTTATTAATGATATATAGAAGATAAATTTATATAATTGAAAAAAAAGAGAGAATAATAAATATATTAAGATATAATTAAAAACTGTCATTAATTATTTATTAAATTGTAAAGCGATTTATATTGTGATACACATTTTTTCTTCTAAAGTGACTTATAACAAAAAAAACCTTTTAATTTTATTGAAAAAAAGTTTTTAAATTTATTGAATAACTGATATATATAATATAAAATAATGATTAAATATATTATTTATTTAATTAATTAAAAAACTTTTTATTATTTATAAATGTGTCAGGAGGATTTATAATAAAAAAACAGAGGAAATATAATTATAAAAGTGAAACAAAGGAAGAAATACAAACAAAAATCCATCAATAAAAACAAAGCAAGTGGCACAAAAGAAATACCTAGTTATGCAGAACAAACCAGGAAAAACAGACACATACAAAATTCCAACAACTAATCCTTTATTTGATATATTACACATGATAGACATAGTGATTTTATAAAGTTGTAAAATATCTATACTATAAAGTGGCAAGATAGATAATACATAACAACAAAGGATGTCTATCTATACCTATTTTGTATCTTCAAACGCAACACTATTTATTTAGGAAGTTTATTACACTTAGTACATGCATGCATGATGATAAAATCAGTTACGATCGTCAAAACCACCACCGTTGTAACCACCTCCACCATGACCGTAACCTCCTCCACCACCATTGTAACCACCACCATGGCCATAGCCTCCACCATAACCACCACCACCACCATGATAACCACCGTAACCACCATGGTAACCACCACCACCATTGTAACCACCACCACCATGGTAACCACCATAGCCACCGCCATGGTAACCACCATACCCTCCGTGGTTACCGTAGCCATTGTGGTAACCACCATAGCCATTATGGTAACCACCGTAGCCTCCACCATAATATTTGGCATCATTTATTTCATCTGACTTTTCAACAACCTCTGCAAATAAAAATAATATCTGAATTTAATTCTTAAACTAAGTCATTTTGAGTATAGATATATATTTGTTTCTATAAATAAGAAAGAAAAATATCTCCAACCGTATAAAGTAGCCTTAAAATGCTCATGAAAAAAATATATATTTTAAGAAGCCTCTAATACAGGCTCATAAAATAAAATAAAAATAAAAAACCGTTACGAATTTTATTAATTTTAATAAAATAAATTTGTACTCATATTTTGGAGACTAAATATAAATTATGTATAGCTAACTTACCCTCTTTGGCATTAGTGGGAGTCTCTGCTAAGTCCCTAGCTGACACCTCTGATGAAATAAGAAGAACCATGGCCAATAGGCCAAGGATGAGGATTGATTTTCTGGAATCCATTGTACTCAAATGTGTTATTTGGTAGAGAAGGATGAAAAAAATATTATGAAAGTGTGATTTATTTATAATGGAAGGAAGGAAGAATCAATACGGAACCTTTACTTGGTGGTTGGGATGGAGCTAATCTGTATTAATTCAATCTTATCTTTAAAATGTGAAGTAATTGTTTGTTGATCTTGATTGATTTTGAGTAGTAAAGATTGGAGGCTTTGAAGTGAAGCAGTTCAGTTATTATGTATATACCTACTTGCTATTAGCGGAGAGTGATAGTTTAGAAATCAGAGAACTTATAGTTAACCATAGTTATTTTGTGGAGTTGCATTCTCAAATGGTTGTCATTTATATCCTCAAAATTTCGATATCGAAAGGAAGATTATATATGTACTATAGTACAACAAACCATCTTTATAGAATACCATTACCTTGAACGGATCGAGTAACAAGCACTAGAGGTAACATCTGGAATATGGTTTTAAATTGCGGTTACGACTGCGGATGTGGTTGTCGGTGTTGTGGAGGTGTTTGAAGTACAATGTGGAAAAATACTTAATGTTAAGTTTTTTCATTTCATAATAAGTAAATTGAGTTTTAGAATTCTAATATATTGATTTCTGATGAAAATATTTGAAGAAACATAATGAAATTGTCATATGTGATTCTTTTTATAGTCGGAGGCGTAATTTTAAAATCACACCACAATTGCGGTCTGATGTGATTGCAAAGACAACTGCACCCGCAATATTGCGGGTGCAATTGCAGTTGTAGACCGCAATTTAAAATCATGCTCTGGAGTTCACGTGTCAGTGAAGTCTTGAGTCTTTAGAGTGTATTCTCTTATAGAATTTGAAACTATAAGGTTGGTGAATAATTGAGTGTGGAGAGGTTGAGAGTGAGAGACAAAAAGAGATAATAATTGAGGGTGAAAATATATGCATTAGTTTCATTCATGAGATACTCAAAGGATATATATACAACTATATACAACTACATAAGATGAGGTATAATTATTAAATCGAAAAACTCCCAGATGTAATTGGTTGACATATTATGTCAAACAGTTGTATTTAACTACTGTCTCAGAATCTGAAGGAAAAACTACATAGGTAATATGTTGCATTGATTTAAATTATATTATATTCACAATACACTACCTTATTTCAAGTCCTTCAAGTCTTCCATACTCATATGCTCTTAAATCTCTTAAGCACTTCAATGAAACTCCTTTAATCAGTAAATCGGCCACTTGGTTTTTACTTCGACAATATCCCATCCTCAATCTTCCTTCACTTACAAGTTCTCTCAATTAGTAAAACCTCATCTCAATATGTATGCTTCTCTTATGTGCAATTTGATTCTTAGCAAGGTTTATAGTGGAAACGTTATCAATCATGAGCATTACAATGTCACCTTTTTCATTGCCCAGCTCCTTCAACAGGTTCTTCAACCACACGACTTGACACGCACATGACAAAGTTGCAATATACTCGGCCTCACAAGAAGAGAATGTCACTATTATTTCCTTCTTTGAACACCATGAGATTGATGTTTCTCAAAACAAAAAGATGTATCTAGCTATGGATTTTATGTCATCTTTATCTCCGCACTAGTTGAAATTTGTATATTTGATTAAATTGCATTTTATACCCTTTTCAATTGCGAGAAACAGAATTCCACATCTAACAAAACCTTTGATGTATCTCAGAATTCTCTTGACTGCTGTCAAGTGAGACACCTTCGATCCATCCATGAATCTTCTCACAATACCGATACTAAACACTAAACTCGATCGTATATTACACAAGTAACGCAAGGATCAAACCAGTCTCTGATACTAAGTTGGATTAACATCTTGCTCATCCTCATTCATCGAAAACTGCATCCTCAGTTCAGTCAGAGTAATGGCACAATTATAATGCCCCATTTCAATTTTTTTTTCAAAATCTCAATCGTATACCTGCTAATGTGCATGAGCAGTCCCTTCTTAGCAATGTAAAACTTAATACCAAGGAAATACATAATGAGGCCTAGGTCGATCATCTCAAACTCCTTCATAAGCTCACCCTTGAACTTGAAAATGTATCTTTCATCGCTGTCTATAATTAACAAATTGTCCATGTAGAGACGTAGGATTATCAACCCTTCAATTGCATCCTTCTTCACATACAAATCATATTTGGATACACACTTGTTGAAGCCTGTCACTTTTAGGAAACCACACATCCTCTTTTTCCAAGCTCTTTGAGCTTGTTTTAAACCGTACAATGCTTTCTAGAATTTATTCAACTTTGGATCATGGTTTTTCACAACATAACCAAGGGGCTAATCTACATAAACCTCTTCTTCAAGTGGTCCGTTCAAAAACACAAATGTGACATCCATTTGATAAATGGACCAATTGTTGTAGTATGTAATCTTAACAACCAATCTGATGGTTTTAATTCTAGCCATCAGTACAAAAACCTCTTCAAAGTCTATGCATTCTATTTGCAAAAATCTCTTTGAAACTAATCGAGCCTTGTGCTTATTATTTCATCCTTTCGATTTTCCTTCACTTTGTAAACTCATCAAAAACCAATTGGCTTCTTATATTTTGGTATATCCTAATATGATTATATGAATATGCATATCCAACACCAAAACCTAAAGCATATTCATAACCACAAATGCAATTCATGAAATGAATCAACAATCCAATAACTTCATTTGTAACTACACAAAGTTATAGTCACAAACTCTGAATAAAACATAAACAGGGCAACATGAACAATACACATGACAATGTCAATGCCGAAACCATTATTCATGAAATACAACAAAATCCATCATCACTTATGTGTTAGAAAAAGAAACCAATAACTCAAGTGAAGAAAATAAACATTCAGAAGCGTGTGAGGGAGAGAGATAGAGAGCGAGAGAGCGAGAGAGAGAGAGAGAGATAGAATGGTAACACACCGTAATTCAAAGAGGATGAAGATTTCGTTTCCAGAAATGATATTCGTTTCCTGAAATAAATGAAGATGGTGAGTATTTCGCTATTGTCATCGTCTCATTCTCTAGGACACCCTTGTGTGTTATGAATGAAATAAATCACTTGTTATGATTTTATTTTTTGGGAAAGAATTTCACAATGGTTGCAATCTTCATTCTAGTGAAATATGGAACATATAACCACATTTGAATGAAATAACCGTAGTTGTTATACTTTCAATTTTTAAATAAAAATAAATGTTAAGGGACACACGCTTATTTTTATTGAAAAATTGAAAAAATATTGATGCTGGGATTCGAAGCTTGGCCCCAAATTCTATGACCACATGTATTTTTAGGAACCATGATAAAAAGTTTCTTTATAAAATTAAAAAATATACGCGTAAAAAAAACATATTACTATGGGTGGCTAAATGGTCGTGGTAATATAATGTCACTGAAGATACATTTTATAGTAGTGAATAAAGGAATTATCATCTATCTATAATAAGAGGAATGATCACAATGTCCCAAACAAAGGAATGATCATTGTCGGCACAATCGACAAGGTTGACCATAGAATCTTCAAAAAAAACATGATCATTTGTACATAATTTGGATGAGTTTTCTATGATTATAGTTGGTCTTATATATTATAGTTTGGAATTTTGTTGTGAGAGCAATTTGGAATCCCATAATGATGGACTTTTTTATGTAAGCCTATAAAGATAAATGATTTGAAAGATAAGATAGAAATAGTATTTTTTTTCCCGTAGGTATGTGTATTATAATTGTCTTTTCTCTGATTGTCTTGATAATCTTCTTGTAATGAGCCAATAGTGGTTTTAGAGTGTTCGCCCTTTCTCTTATAGGGAGATGTGCTGGTGCAAAAAGAAGAGATGAAAGGAAAAATGAATATATTAAATGAGGGTACAAAATAAGGAATAATGATTTACAATGAAATACATTGAGTTACCTCACTAGGCTATTTATACACAAAATAAATTCCTAAATATCCTCTAACAAAGATGTAAAAAGATATAATAATATCTTCTAAAAGATATTCCTAAAATATAGATTAATATCCAAAATATATTCCTAAAATATAGATTAAATCTAACATCATCCCTTAATTTATATTTTATCCAAAACTGACAACACCAATTCCATCCCTCAAACGAAGAAATTGATCAGTCTTGATAGCCTTTGTTAGAACATCTGCCAGCTGCTTTTAGGTGCTACAGTGCACAACTTCTAATATTCCGCTCTAAACTCGATTCCTCAGAAAATGATATTTGGTCTCAATATGCTTGCTTCTCCCATGCAGCACTGGGTTCTTGGCAAGATTGATTGCAGACTTGTTATTAATCATCATCTTCAGAGGTTTGGCTACTTCAATCTTCAGATCTTGCAACAAGTTTAGAATCCACACAACTTGACATGCAATTAGAGCGCCTGCAATATATTCAGCTTCATAGGTTGACAATGCAACAATAGGTTGCTTCTTGGAACACCAAGAAATAGGACCTCCCAGAAAATTGAATAAGTACCCAGAAGTACTTCTTCTGTCCACTCTATCTCCATACCAATCAGAGTCTAAATAACTCAAAAGTTCTCATTCGATATTTCTTCCAGACAGAAATAACACTCCATACTTTAGAGTTCCCTTTACATACCTCAGAATCCTGACAACAACTTGGTAATGAGACCGCGTTGGTTTACTCATAAATCTACTAACCATTCCAACTGCATAGCAAATATCAGGTCTGGTATTACACAAATACCTCAAAGAACCAACCAACTATTTGAAGGTTATAACATTCACATCTTCTCCATCAGAATCAGAGTCCAACTTCTGATTCGTATCAGTAGGTGTGATAGCAAATTTGCAATTTTCTAGCTCAAATTTCTTCAGAAGCTCTAGTTCATACTTCATCTGATGCAAAATGATTCCTTTCTCAGAGTACATAAATTCCATCCCTAGAAAGAAACTCATTTTCCCAAGATCTGTCATCTCAAACGCATTCATCAAA